TTGTTAACATTGCCAGCCACTACCCACTTGTACAGTACCCTTGGGTACTAAATAATTACCCACTTTGTGTGGTTATCTAGCTCACTAATTACCCACAGAAATTGGGGTCAGGTGTTAACTGCTTGAAATAAGTATCCTCCATAGATTTGGCTAAATTGTATAAAGAAGTGATGTGTTTGCAGCAAAACTTTAAAATGTCAAACATTTTTTCTTTTTCCTTTTTTAAAGCACAGACAAGAAAAGGAGTGTTAGTTTCCTTTGATGTTAAATTCATGCAGGTTGCTACAGTGCTGCAAATCATCCAATAGGTCTCAAAGGATGGGCTGCTAAAACAGCTTCTTTTCTCCTAGTCTGCTTTTTCCCAAAAATTAGATTCTTCGGTACATAGGGCCTGATTCTTCTCTTACACACACTAGTGTAAAGGAGGAATCAGGAGTAACTCTACTGATTACACTGTTATAAATGAGAAGAGGTTCAAGCCCATGGATTTTTAGGTCAGTATAATTACCTAGTCTGCTCTGCATAACCTCAGCCATCACTCAGTGGTTCCTGTGCCATGCCCAATAATTTAGTTACATACTATAGAGTGGTACAGTTACTTTTCCATGTTTATTTAACTCTCGTGAGCCGAACATGCATGCAGAAGGAGAGTCTATTCCAAGGCTGGGGATGATCTAGTTTGCTTTGAGTAATCATTAATTCCTGTGTTCAAGGGAGGTACCCCAGTGAGTCAAAGATTTCTGGACAGCCCCACCCACACCAACTTCCTGAACACTTATTCTGTAGTCACTCTCTGCCAGACCTACACAAAGCATCCGGCTAGCCAGCAACAGCTCCCTTCTTCACACACAAGCTCAGGCAAACAAAAAAATCCCCCCAGCCATAAGGAATTAAACAAGCCAAAACTCTTGAAATATTCCTTGCTTATAACGAAGGCATGTTTGCATTCTGGCATAGCTGTTCCTGTATATTAAGAAGAGACTGATTTCATTGGGACTTAGGTGCCTAGGTGCATTTGAAAATCCCACTAAATATCTATCTGCATCTTTAGGTGTCTAAATACCTTTAAAAATCTGGCCCTGAGTGCTGGTGCAGAGCACATCCTAAATACATGAGATGGTGTCTTTGTTTTATTTAGGGTTAAATTCTCTTATCCTTGCACAGAATAGCAGCTTGCTCCTCAACCAGCCCCATTAGAATCAGATGGACTTCTTGTGGAGGATGCTATTACATCAATGTGATCTCTTTTGGGACACAGTGTTACTCAGTCTGAGTAATGGCATCAAAATCTGACCCTTTTGCTATCCATGTAAAATCAGGCATTACCACTTACTAGCTACCCACCATAGGCTAGACAAGTGAAGTGGTCCATGTTTGTAAGGCATTACTAGCCACCGGCGGCATGACTAGGTGTAGGGTCTCCGATAATGGAAAGTATCTGCTTTCTTGCATTGTGTTGCACATCCCTGGGAAATGCAGTGGTCCGCTTCTTAGAGAATGATGCAGATTTAGACATCATCTCTGGCTTTTGTTGTTGTTGTTGTTAACAGTCTGTATTATTATTTAGCATTATCAAGGGATTTAGTCTGATCAATGGAGTGTATATGCAACTGATGGACATGTGAAGAGGAAATGCTTGGAGAATGAGAAACATGTCTGCAGTAGAGGGTGTGTTTCTGTGTAAGTACCAGTATTAGAACCACTGACTGATGAGTTCATTTTAAAATCCAAGGGCATATAGCTGGTAAATTATCACCGATTGCAAATATAGTCTGGTGTGAGAGAGAGAGCAAGGCTGCCATTGAGCAGAGAGGGGTGGGTGTGGAGGGACTTGGGGAAGGCGGGCGGGGAGAGAGAGATTGTGGGCTTTGAAGTCATCACAAGCATGAGACAGAGAGTCTGTCTGCCTGACTGCCTTCATGCAGGCTTCAGAGCGTTGCTGTTTCCACGAGATGCTGCTGGCTGCAGTATGGGGGGGGGGGGAGGGGGGGTGAAAAGAAGCCAAGAGAGTAGTGTTTAATTTTATTCTTTTAAGATTCAGATCCAGTGAGAGATGTTAGGTACACTCCCCCCCCCCAACGGTTTCCCCACCCCCTATGTTACACCCCCCAAAAGAGGCTGGCATACCTGATGTATGTGTCTAGCTGTCTGGGAGGGTTTATTATTATTATTTGTCTAATAAGTGTCTAGCCTTTCTCCCTGACCCGGCGGTGTATTTTTGGTCTCATTAGTAGTCAGGGAGATGCTTTAGAGTATCCGGTGCTGGGAGTCGGGGATAGCACACTGCCGGCAACACGGAGGGAGAGGGGAGAGAGGGTGGTAGCAGAAGGGAAGCCTTCTTTCCAACTCCTGTCTCGCAGATATGGAAGGGGAAACGAGGAGTGGTGCGACTGGCCCCAGCGTTGGATATGTGATCAGTGATTTGGGGTGTGTGTGTGGGGGGAATGTCTTAGCAGAGCTTAAAAGAAGGGGGTTGCTAGGGTGCGTATGGGGGGGGGGAGTATTGATTCCTTATTCTGCTAAAGATTTTAGTAGGCATGCAAAGAATCTGTAGGGGAGTTGTAAGTGGGTGGGGGTGGTGAAGAATCTAAAAGAGTCTGTAACCAGATACTGAAGCTTTCCAGGAGTGAGTGAGAGACAGACAGACAGACAGACAGACAGCGAGAGGAAGAAAGGGGGCAGTGTGGTCTAGTACATTTCATCTGGTCGTTGATTTGAGCCTGATGCTTGCTGTCCCTCAACAGCCTCCCTTGCTTGATTTTTTCTTCTTCTCCCCCCCCCCCTTCCCTCTCCTTTTGCCTTCTACTTTGCTGAAGCCTAGGGGAGCCAGTAAAGATTAAATGTGCTTTCTAAAAGGCAGCCACTTCATGCAGCTATGTCTACTTCCCCCCCTACCACCACCACTAACCCCCCTTTTCAATAAGAGAGAGAGAGAGAAGGAGGAGGAGGAGGAGGAATATAGTTTAATGATGCCGGGACTGGCTGATCCAGATGGAAAAACGGAGGAAAGATCTGAGATCCCGGACGAGGAAGGACCTTGGTGAATGGTCGGAGACTCCAGAGGTGAGAAAAGAACGGAGTGGACGGTTATTGTTGTTGTTGATTATTATCCCCTGGCCCTTTAGCTTGCACTTGGGTCTGAACCTTGATGTTTCTATTCGGACCGGTGCTAGTGAAAGGGGGGAGATCTGGAGGCAGCCGGAGCTTGGCTGTTTCTACGAAAGGGGGAGGAGGATGGGGGTGGTGGGGTGGTGGGGGGGGGGGGGGTTTGCAGAGAGGAGGAAGAAAAATCCAACCCAGCGCCCGAGGCGTAAAAAATGTTTTCAGCTGCGTGGGGAAATGCAGGGCTAATATTCCGCATTTTAAACTCGGGGGCCCCCGGGTGCATTTTCCGACGCTGCTGGGGCCTAAACGGACTCCAGAGCGGGTGGGGTTCGGGTTGCTGGGGATTCCTTTGGAGAAGGGCCCCATTCGGAGCTGGGTTTTGCACCAAGCGGCGTCACGCACCGCACCAGGTGTAAAGGCAGCGCCGGATCGGGCCCTCTGCGCTTTCCGCCCCCCCGCAGCTGGGAGCCATCCTGGAAACGTCCCGTGTGCTCGCGATGGGGTGGGGAATCCTTGTCGCTGGCAACAGGCGTGTAAGGTGATTATTCTCCAGGTTTTCCCTTCAAATACTGGCATCAGAGTAGGCAATGGGGAGGGGGGGTTGTTCATCAGCTCCCTGTCTCTCTCCCCCCCCCCCCCAAGCTCTTTTCCCAGTGACAGGCTGGAGCTTGCTCTGATTAGACTGGCCTTGGCTGCCGCCTCCCCAGCTGATGTATTAGTTAGCAAGAGAGGGCCGCAGTTTGCAAAAAAAAAAATGCAGAATCATAAAGAGAGAGAACAAGGGGGAGGTTGGAGGACAACAAAGAGAGCAGCTGCTGAAGGGAAAAATAATTTTTTAAGGCAAATGTTTTTTAAAAATGCAAGCAGGTCCCCCTATATTTCCCCTTCCCTTCCCTTCCCCCCCCCCCACACCTTTCTTCTGTCAAAAAATGCAGAGGTATGGTTGCTTTGTTCTGTGTGATAGTCCTTTCCCTATATACTCTGGAATCGCTCGCTCAGCCTAGGATCATTGAAATCCATATATTCCCCGCCACCCCCCGCCCCCCTTGCTTTTTCTTCCTGCTGCTTCTGCTGAAGGCTGGAACCTTCCCCACTTCCAAATGGTGAGTTTCTCAATTATTTTCTTATTAACACTGTAATATTCCTTCACCCCTCCCCAAGTTTATATGGGGAGGCGGGAAGAAAGCTTAGCCTATATGCTATGCATGCTTTGTGCCAGACACTTGGAAAGATATCCTGTCTATTATTATTATGATTTCAGCATTATTTTTCATTGAAACAATGAAATAATTCCATCCCCACCCTGACTGTTTTTTTTCCTTATCCATTTAAATATATAGAACTTCATTTATTCTAGTACATTGTTCAAAGCTTTAAGGATCCTGCTGTGCGTGGCTTGAAATTTTGATATAAACTATTTAAACAGAATGTATTCTCTCAACAGAGGAGGTTCCTATAGAGTCTCTTTCCTTCCACCTGTGTGTCCTGTTTTATAATCTTGAACCTTGATGTGAATTTGCCTGCCATTCTTTGCCTTTTCTTTTTGATCCTTGTTGTGGCAAGAAATAGTTTGTTGCGCCCCTCTCAATCCCTGAGACCCTAACTTGTGATGTTTAGCTTTTAAATCCACGGGTTAGGCTCTTGGGAGCTGTGAGTTGTGCTTTGGCATCTTTTTTTTTCTTTTTTTTTTTTTTTTTTTTTTTTTTTTTTTTTGTTGAGCATTTAGTAGACCCTTAAAGAAAAGAAACTTTTAAGTAAAGCGGATCTCTCATCATTAGTTCTAATCAGCTGACTGTAGGGTACTGGTGCCATTTGTTGGTGGCCATTTACCTTAAAATATTATCTCAAATTAAAATATGAGTGTTTGCGAGTGTGTATATTATATGTGTGTGATAAATATGTACATATAGGTATGTGTATAGATTATATATATATATGTGTATATATAGATAAACATGATATAGATGTGTATGTATATATAGATCGATATTGATATGTGTGTGTATAGATACCGAAATAGATGATTCAGATGTTTGTGCATGAATATGTATATCGGTGGACCTAAAGATCTAGATGTGTGCTATCAGTGTGTGTATAATATATATGTGCAATTTCAGATATATATATAATGAGACAGATTTGCTGCAGGCCAGTGAATATAGCATCTATCTATTTTTCTTTCTTGAGAGCAACACACAGTACCCTGAGAGCGTAACTGTAACAGCTCGGTACATTGGTGCTTGACCTCAGACCATCGCAGCTGAAATCCCAGCATGCCTCTTGCTTCCAAGTTTAAAACCTGAACGATTCATCTTAGAAATGTGCTTTGTGGACAAAAAAAAAAAAGGAGGGGGGGGAGATGGGTTGGATTTTTTTAATTGTTAGATCTAAAAGAAACCAAACAATAAAATATATATGTCAAATATATATGTATAAATAATTCCAAAATGCTATTCTTCTCAGCAAACGCTGAAGTTCGTTTTAGTCCTTAGAATTTAACCTCTCTGGTTTTAATATCAAACCTACATGTGACAGATGAAGTAGAAATCAGAAATGTGAAAATACTCCTAGTTCTGTTTTTTCTTTATTACATTTTTTAATGTTGTAAAATTCATTATGGTTGTGATTGTATTTATTTCTGTTCTGTAAGGCAATTTTTAATGATGTTACTGTACCTTTTTATGGCACTGAATGCTTGTTTTATATTTTAATACAAATGCTTTAACTTAAAATACAATGCAACAAAGAGATATTAATTGGTGTAATATTTCACTACTTATATCAGTTTAGGATATGTCTGACAGTTCTCAATATTTAATATTTATCTGAACTAGAAAAGCTTTTTTCTTTTTATTTTACACTACAATTTCAGAGATTCTTTTAGCTCCATTTAAAAAAAATCAAACATAGCATTTTACTTCTGAATTGTAAACTATTCCAAATGTACTGTAATTGAATTATGAATATAAAATTTTCCCCTAGATTACAATTATTTTCCATTACCTGTTTGGTTTTTAAATCCAGATGTAATATGCGAACATCTACCAAACCTTTGTACTATCCTGCTATTGATTTTACACTTGGATACATGAAAAACCTTGCCTTTCCTTGAAAATATATTACTAATCAATTTGCGATCATTATTTTCCAAATGGCAGGGAAGAGACCATTTTGTTTGTGAGAGTTGATGATTTGCTTATAACTATTTAATATCTTTGTTGATTTCCTCTGAAGCATGTCAGTGTGAACAATGCCTTATAATCTTTGGAAGGAGAATTTTTAAAAAAGGAATTATTCATATTTGTATTCTGGATAAGATAGATGTTTTCTTTTGAACCTGTTTCTGTAATCAGCATTATTCTATCACAAATCCAGTTGTGTGGAATGTATATCAATGTTGCAGTGTGATACAGGGCCTGATCCAAAGCCCACTGAACTCAAAAGAAGTCTTTCTATTGATTTCAATGCATTTGTATCACACCCTGAGTTCTATAGTAAGAAACAATACCATGTAGTGCATGTTTCATATATTCTGCAGAAATATACCGTCTTTCCTCTCACCTCTGTGTTAATATTGGTGCACAAGGATTTCTGCTCTATTATTATGAGGAGAAGTAGATGAAACAAAACATGCAAAAGATTGTACATTTCAGAAAGGTTGCTTCTGCTGCAAAGGCAGGTTCCTCACCCCTCCCTCCCAGAAGCACATCACTGAAGTTCAGTGAAATGAATAACATAATTGGTAGTTGGTTCAATCACTACCAGTCTAGACTAGCCCAGACACATCAATTAGAGAGGGCTGTCTTTTTAAAGGGACAGTGCAACCGAAACAAGTAAGGCCTTATCTCAAAGTGAAAATCCAGCTTGGCAGAAATAAAAAAAAGAGAGAGAGAGAACTAAATTGGAGCTTTTGGGGAACATAGAAGGCAGGAAGCTTGAGAGAACAGGAGGGAATAATAACTGAAATATAATGCACTCCCCACCTCCCATCGCCCCAACCTACCAGTGCAAACTCATAATTCAGTGCACCAGGGACACAGGTTCAGTGGCATTTCTTAGTTAGATTTGTGTGTGTGCAATTTTAGAGATGGCAATGTTATTGAAACTTAATTACCTTATAAATATCGAGTCAGAGTTATTTCCATGCAAGCAAATAGAAATCAATGCTAAACTATCCTGCAGCATTTTTTCACCCTCCAAACAAACAAACAAAAATCCAGGGTGCATATATACTGGAAAGCTCTGATTATCTTCTCTCTGATAAAATTATAAAGGTAACTACACAGCCTGTCTAGATCCTAGCACAACTGTATAGAAAAGTAAACTGCGAAAAACCAGCTTGTGTTAATAGCAAAATTGAGGAGAAAATAGATTACAGAATGTCTTGATTTTTATTAAAAAATTGAGGCGGTAAATAAAGCAGGCTGTGTTTGAGACTGCATCCAGCACTAAGAAAAGAAAATGCTTGATTAGTTTCAATTAAAGCATATCTAATATATTATAATGAAATTTAACATAATACATTCCAAGCTAATCTTTGTCATACCTATATGAAAAAATAAAAGCAAAAAGCATGAGCATCTCATTTAGAATATTGCAAACCCCTCCCCTCAATAAATGCTAATTCAGCAAAATATATTTGGCCAGATCTTGCAACTGGGAGTTTTGCCTGAGTAAGGACTGCAAGACTGGGCACTATGAGTTCAAACTCTTTATAATCTTAGCAGAACTTGCTTTCCCAAGCTGAAAGAAATGATGTTTGGTGGTGGCAAAGGGGGGAAGTCCAGGACCATCCTAAAAATCTTCCTTGTTGCTCATTTATTTCAAGAGCTATAATATACAAAAGGTTGCACAATACTGTATTTTAAAAATGGAGAATGATTTTACTACCCTTCCATTCCTAATTCCTTCCAGGGCACTTAGGGATTTATTGGGCTAGTTACCAAATGATATGACATACAATTAAATGGCTGGTGCTGATTAGCTGATTGATTAATTCCTAGTTGATTTCTAATTATAAACTTTATTCACATTATAAATTCCTGACAGTAACATGCCAGTTTGGTGGAAATCCACTTGGCTTTCTCCTGTTATATTGCTTTGCAGCCATTTAACATGTAAAGTCAGTTGAAAATGACATAAAACATTTTTCTATAGTTTACTTTAAACATTAACCTTTTGATTCCCCTTTTAAAGAATGGCCTCTTTGACCACACTTCACTTCTTCTAACTGTTAGGACATTGGTATATAATGTGTACACACACACACACAGAGTAACGTTGGAAACTACTGCATTATACAGAGAATAAGTAACAAACTATTCTTTATTTTAAGACTTAACTTGGTGTGTCGTCAAATAATTTATACTGTTTTGTGGATATTTTTCTTTTTTGCTGCCCGTGGCTGTTTATATTGGCTTAGTTGCAAATAAGCTGCTATGCAAACATCATAGTAAAAGGTTCAGATGAAGTTTATAAAACAAAACACAAAAGGCACAAGTTTTTAACCGTTATCTCGCACCTCTGAAAATGTTTGTGCTGACATTGTCTAGAAGAGACGCTCCTGACCTAACTGGACTACATGGCTGCTGGTGCTGCCCAGCCTTTCCCCAGTGCTCAGAGTGAAAGACCATCCCAGTTCTTCTTCACTCTTGAGAACACACACATTGTTTCAGTAATCCCCGCAATAAATGCTAATTAGTAATGCACAAGGACCCTACCAGCCAGAGCAATTATCATAATGTACCTTTTCCTTTTAAACACATTCCTGGCTGATTTACATTTTTTAAGCAATAGTGTATTGCCTGTTCCTTTGAAAAACCTTTCCAGTGCATTAGCAGTAAGTGTGCGTGTTATATGTAGCAACATTGAAACACACTTTGATTATTGCACAGAGAATTGCAAAAAGAAATGAAAGTGCGTAAAGAATTTCCCACATGTGAAATTTTATTTTCAAACCCAGATTTTTTCTTTCCCCTCCCTGTCTGCCCCCCTTCTACCACCACCAAAACCCACTTACTGAGGAGAACAAAGGAAATCACTAACTATAAAGGCATCATTAAGTATGAACAGCAACAGCAAGATAAAGCGTGTGATATGACAACATATTTTATTGCACAAAAGTCAAGATAATTAAATAATTCACTGGTATTCTTAACTAATTAGCACAAAGATCTTTCAGAAGCCATCAGGAGAATGGATCTAATCAAATCTAATAACATGCTGCATTACTCAAAGATCACATATTTTCCAATGCTGCTAATATTTTTCAAACTGATAAAATAACAGGAAGGTTACAAATATGTGCACGTTTAATCAGCCTGTATTTCAATGTGCTCCTTTTCTGCATGAAGTGATTAGATCTTTGTGGGAAGTGACTATGTACGGCGGGAGTTTCCAGGGCTAGTCAATGATAAAAATCACAGATTGAGAAAATCAATTCAGTTTTAACTAATCTCTTAAAAGGATTCATTGTCGGGCTAGGATTCATTATTGTGCTGAACATTATGGGGCTGACTCACTTGGATTGATGGTTTGTGCACGTACGCTGGAGTTTGCCTGAGATCTTCTAATGTGGCTCATTGGGAACCTCATTTGCCCATTTTCTGCTTTCCCAACCTTTAAAAACATGTCTACCAACCCGAAGAGAGACTGATGCGTTTTAATTCAGAATCCAGTTGTGAGGCCAGATTCTGATTGCATTTGACTGGTGTAAAATCCGGACTAACTCCATTGAGATCAGTTGGGATTGATTTAGATTTACACTGGGGTAAATGACATTGCAATGACCTGTGCTCGTGGGGAAATGCTTACTTTTTCCTCTAGGCGCATGAGTCTTTAAGCAAAAGCCAGAGACTACGTGTACGAAGCATGAGCACAATAGGGGCAGACTGTCAGTGGCTACTGTACAGAAGAGCAGACTATACCCTGGAGCACCTGCCAAGGCACTGATGCTGCTATTGGGAATCTCTCCTGGTAGCGCTTTTCGGCAAATAGACATCAGATACAGCGAATAGTATTCATTATATGCAATTATACTGCAGTACTGATACATATGCATTGTTTTATGTAGTATATTTGCTGACTCACATTTGATCATATACTGCCTATATATTTTACGTAAGTAAAAGTGACTCATTCCTATACTAAACAAAGGAATATTTGGAAAATCATTTTGTCTGATGGAAAATTAAGCATTTATCCTTTTAAGGAAATGTCTGTATACTATTCACCATTGAAATAACAGGAGAGGGCATACGTATATATAATGAGGTTTAGATGCAGTGTTGCCTACTTTTCTTACTATGAGCCCAAACCTTTTTCGTGTACGAGCAGAGCTAACTCCCACAGACTCCACGGATTACTGAGATGAGGCAGTGTTGTGGGGTCAGGCTCTACGTTTGGTAATTCTTTGTGTTTCACGTAGCAAGGTAGTGCCTGAAGACACAAACTGAGATTGAAGCCCCGTTGTGCCAGGCACTGTCCACACACACAGCATGAGATAGCCCCTGCCCTAAAGGGCTGGCTGTCTAAATAGACAAGACAGACAAAGGGTGGGTGAGAAAAAAGAGGCACCGAGAGGTGACCTGCTCAAGGATACATAGCAGGTCATTGGCAGGGCAGGGTATAGAACCCAGCTGGCCTGACTCCTGGGCCAGTGCCCCATCCACTGGGCCACACCACACCTCTGGACATGCACAGTTTATGAATACCGTCACTGGTATGCAAGAATGTAAATTCAACATAGCAAGTTGCATTTCTAATGCACATTTGGCTGTAGTTGTGAAAGAATAGATGTTACTTACATGAGCACGTTACACTCCTTTCCTGTATGTTCTGCATCCTGTTGTTGCTATTCACTCCATGTTCAGACTATTGTATTTGGTCTGAGATGAGTGCTGGCTGATTTAAATATATATATTTATATTCAAGGAGAGCAATTACTCTCTCTGATTTAATTACCAGCAGGACAGTGGGGTGGGAGGAGGTATTTTTTCATATTCTCTGTGTATAAATAAAGTCTGCTGCAGTTTCCACGGCATGCATCCGATGAAGTGAGCTGTAGCTCACGAAAGCTCATGCTCAAATAAATTGGTTAGTCTCTAAGGTGCCACAAGTACTCCTTTTCTTTTTTCTCTGATTTAAGAGATTCAAAACATGAAGGTGATCATGGAAGACTGAGGTCCTGCATGTACAGTAAATTAAAATTGCTTTTATTTTACTATAGCTATTCCAGTACTGTATAATCTACTCCCGTCAGATGGGTTTGACTACTGACTTCTCACCCTAGCATTTTGTTGGGTTGGCTGTTCTGTCCGTGCTATACGGTGCTCTGCTCAGAGAGCTCCAAGGTAGGTGTACAATCTACAGCAGCGTCTTCAGAGTGCACCACTGACACACTTAATTTAATCGTCTGTTTTTTTAAAAAATAGGCATGTAAAGGATCAGCACCGGCTGTGCTGTGCAATCAGCGCTTCTTGTGCTATCCTGCAACCAAGGGGGAGCCTCAAGCAACAGCTAATGAACAAGAATTGCTTGGATCCAACAAGTGATAGATTGACCTCAGCAGAAGCAACTTCTTGCTGCTGCCTCTCAAACTGTGACTGCTAATGTAAAAAAATTAAAAACCCAAATAGCCAGCCAGCCAACCAACGCCGATGCTATTGTACCAGCTGCAACGTGTTGCTGCTCCATAACCTTAGAATATGGGACAAATTACATATGCCCAAGAGGAGGAAAATTCTAGTCACCTCCTAAGAGGAGAAGAATGGTCCCAACAGCTCTTTCTGGCCACCACAAGAAGCTGACCTGATTGTCTACATGCCACAGAGAGCTGTGTTCTGATGATCCAGGGTGCAGCATACTGCTTGCTTGACCTGTGCGCCTCCTGTCACTTCACCCACAGGAATGAGGAAGTGCTACGAAGCAGCAGAAATTCTAGAGCTTGGCAATCAGGAGAAGCAGCCCTCATGTGAGCTCTTTTTCCGTGAAGCTTGAGACTTGCCTAAACTCCAGCTTCTCCACTAGGAACAAGAGTTTGTTCAGAATATGGCGGGGGAGGAAAATTTGGCTACCGTGTGTGTGCACTTGTTCCATGTCTGAACTTGCTGAGTATACAACTATTATTCCCAAGGAATCCAGTAAATGGTGAATCTGCAAACCAGTTATCCATTTGTGTTTGTCTCATTTGGTCATCCCCTAGGGCCTCATCTGGCCTTCACAGCATCTAGTCCCCCACAAGAGGATAGGTTGTTACAGTGTTGGGATCCACGGGAAAGTTAAAATGAAAGAGGGACGGGAGAGAGAGGCTAATATTTGGGGAACCTCACATATGTACATTAGAAAAAAATTTGATCAAAATTTGCCTTCAGTTATACCCATCTACTCCATTTTCACTTCACTGAGGCTGCATGGGCATAATTGAGAGGAGGCTGTGTTAAAAATTACTCTCTCCAGCTGATAGCCCATAGAATATCTTGTTTAGTCTATTTGAATTTGTATTAGCTGCCATCTCTAGAAAATACAATGCTGTAGATCATTCCAGAAAGTACTGTACATTTTGGGCATGATTCGCAGAGTCCTTTGGCTCATGTGTAGAGGCATCTGTGCACACCTTTCGGGTATGGTGGCACCTGGGCCTGCAGATAGAATTTTTATGCTCAAAACACATTTGGACAAAGGGAGGCCAACTTGAAGACATTTTGGCTCTTTATTAGTTTGGCATATTTATGCCAAAGTGTTCGGTGTCTGTCCCGAACATACAAATAGATCTGTTAAAAACAAAGCAAGATCAAAACCAATAAAACCATGCAAATATGCTGTTGTGTTGTTCCAGAAGCATTTGGTGGGTGTCTAATGCCCCTTTTGAAAGAGGCCAAATCCACGGTGTTTCTAAAGTCATGGGACATAACCTGAATCAGCAAGGAAATATGTTAATTGCACCAGTTTTCCCCCTGTTCCAGAGATGAATTTTGCCCACATTCCAGTTGCCATATAAGGCACTGACACTGCAGGAAGTCCATGTGAGTGGCTCATTATGATTGCATGGAGCCCCATCAGAATCGTGGGGTGTGAAGTCAGTGGAGCTCCGTGCAAGAGAAAAGGGATGTCACGTTGAGCCAACTTCACTCTGGGGCTTGGACACTTAACTAGTGGCACTGTAGGTCACTCAGCAGGAAGAGTTTGCCATACTCATCTTTCAGTTGAGCTATTAAATCCAAGGTCCTTTCTGCTGCTCAGGGACAGATGTCCAAGGAGAAGTTAAGTTCCTTTGGCACAATTTGTGTGAAGCCTTTTTTTTTTTATTTCTCTTTGGATTTAATACACAAACAAGGAGAAACAACAATATTGCAGGAACTAATTCATTACTCCAGCTTCTGAGGACAAAATATTACGAAACATATTCTGTCCTCACCTGCAGCATGCTAGCAAGGCTTGGCTTTACACGTACACCGGACAACACCACATGGAATAATAACCAGCCAGTGGTAATACAGAAGGGTATTACTCATGGAAGACCATGGCTCATACATCATAATTTAGTAATAACCCTTTGCACTTCTGCAGCATGTTCCACCGGGGGATCTCAAAGCACTTTATGAACTTTACTGAATCAAGCCGCACAAATCCCTTGAGGGGCCAGTAAATAACTGGTCTTATCTCCTATTTATAAATGAGGAAAATTAGGCACAGAGAAATTAAGCCCACATTTCAAGATTCTGATCCCCTCACTAGCATGAAGACCTTACCACTCCAGAAGCCAATGGGACTTTTCTAAGAGTGGGGTACTGTTGTAATGAGCAAGGGTGGCTGAATCTAGGTGTAAATGTCCCCTGGCCTTGGGTGCCTCTACTTTTGGGTGCCTGACTCCCAAAATCCTTTTCAGAAGGGCTGAGCACCTGTCATTCCAAACCAACCAAGTCAAGGGGCACTGTGGGTGCTCTGATAATCAGACCCTTAGTGTCTCAAGCTGGGCACCTAAAAGCAGTTGTCACTTTTGAAGAGTTTGACATAAGTAACTAGACTGGCAGAGCTGGAACCCGAACCCAATCTTTTCATACCTGGTACTTTGCTTAACCCATTAGCTCATGTTGCGTCTCTGGATGCAACGAAAGCTACAATCGCTTATCTAATGTATCTTTGTTTCTCATATTTTGCTTTGCAGACCTTTCCCTACACATCTCCGAAGAACGTACTAAGTTATGGCAAAAACAGCGATTGAGAAATAGTCAGCCCCTCCATCAACTCATAATGCCTAGTGGCACTTGTTGAGACAAGGAAAAGGAATAACTCTAATCTCCTACTCAGCATCACCTCTCTCAGGAAAACAGCCTCTAATGCTCAAAGCTAGGTGAGCTACTTCTGGGAGCCTGAATTGCATTTACAGTCACTAAGGTCCTGTCTGCACTAGCCAGGGGGACTAGTTGTGACCCAGCAGAGACCCCACTGACTTCAGATAAAGTTGCAGTGGAGATTGTTCCTTAAAGAAGTCGTATCCGAGGTCCTGACCCTGCAAAGATTTATGTTTGTGCTTAACATGAATAGTTCAGTTGAACTCAATGGGACAACGCACTTTTGTAAATCCTTGCAGAATCAAGGCCTAACTCACAGATCTATAAAGTTCTGGAGCTCTCTTGAGTATGAAAAGTGCTGTATACACACTGAGTGAAATCCTGGCTCTATTCAAAGGCAAAACTCTCATTCACTTCAGCAGGGCCGGGTTTTCACCCGCAAATTCTATTCTGTTCTTTAAATTAATCCTTTATAATATGGTTACATCTAGGCCTTTTTTGTTTTGCTATCTCTCTCCAGTGAGGTGAAGGGCCAGGGATCGGGAGAAATGAGATGACTAAATAGGAGGAGAATGAAAGCTTTGGTATCTGAAGCCTGCACCTTGCGCCACATCCTGGTCTCACACTGCTTTAAATTTGGTTCTACTCTTCTATAGTCAGTGGAGTTATTCCACATTTGATTCCACATGTGATTCATATTATAATCTGGCCCCATCGCCATTAGCAGAATAATATTTGAGGGCTTTGTTTCTGGGATTGTTTTTTCTTCCTCCTCCACTTTTTATTCAGTTGGTACCTTGTCCATTCTTTTCATTTTGTAGGATTCTGCCCCTGATTTTCACAGCTCAAATGTCTTTTGCACAGTCTCTGGCTGTCCTCTTCTTCCATTAAAACAGAAGGGAAAAAACGTTGAAAAGCTCAGTGGTAAAAACAATCATCAGACCATTTATTCTTGAAGGCTTGGATGTTGCTTGTGCAGCTATGCTCGATCTTCAGGATCAGTTGGGTTTTCCACTGGTAAAGTAACAGCAAAAGAGCATGTGGCTAATAAATAGACTGATCACTGAAATATACTCAATGATTTTTTCTTCTTGGTACATTCCTGATTTCTTATGTTCCTTTCATCAGATTAGACATCACCATCTTCATAGCCCCATATTTTTCTCTGGTAAATGGACAATGATTGTAGTAGAAAGCCACACATACAATGGGCCAAATCCATCTCTGGTGTAACTATTTTAGTCAATGGAATTACATCAGGGTATGATTTTGACCCAGTGATAGTAAAACCAGATGTTAAGACAGTAAAACAAGAACTGATCTGCTGGCAGCTTTGATCCTGCTGACTTTAATCCTGTTCCAGTGGACTTTTTTTTTTTTATGCTAAGAGAATGTTTGGAGCTAGATTTAATCCATTTCCCAGAAAGCACTGATGCAATGGTATAAAACCAGAAACTTGCTGGTCAAGACAAGAACAAATAGCTGGATGTTCAATAAGCCTTCCTTTGCCTGGAGCATCTTAGAAATTGATGCAATATATGATGAACACTCATCTTTGTTTCTGTAATTTTTCCCTGACATCAAATTTCTTTTTTTTGTTTACATTCAATGCTACATGTGTGAAAGTCACCCATTGAGCAGAACACGAGGCCCATACACCTCAAAATGGGACTTAGTGCTGCAAAGATTTTGGGCTGGCCCTCTGCAAAAATTTTTATCTCCTGACCACAGCAATTACATAGCCTATGGCTTCCAGGACCATTTTTAACCCTCACTGGAAATGAGTCACCCTCTACCAAGATTGGAAGCTCATCGGGGCAGGAAGTGTGTCTGGTGGTATTTGCCCCTAATGGTCCAGGTACACCCATGATGCTGTAGAAATAAAAATAAAGTCACGTGTCTCGGGCTAAGAGTTTCATTGTGAGAGCCAGGATGGGAACTCAAAAGTTGCTGGCTTCCCATCCTTTGTCCCACACCAGGAGTACCATTGACGATATAACCTACTTTGAAACACAGCCCAAGACTCAGTGAAGGTTTTGAAGCCACAGAATAGTTCACTGCAGTTCACTATTCAAGTTACTTCATTTCATACAATGGCTTAAAAAGGTCTCAAGCCAACCTAGTAACTAGTCTGATTCAAAAGCCACTGACATGCTTCAGCCCAAAACCTTCATCAGAAGTCCAGGGATCAGATCTTCAGCTGTCACAATTCTGTAGCTTTCAGTAGTATTAGGCTGATTTACACCAGCTGAGGATTTGCCTGCATTGAAAAGTTTGGCCATTTCAGAGTTTGTGACTTCATCCCTCACATTGATCGCTGAGATTTTGGACTAAGTTCTGTGCACGTATCTTCATGATTAAGATGTCAAACAATTGGAAAGCAATTCTGGAAACTGCTAAGTATCAAATTAAAAGGTTATTTTTGTACTCACTGTTCATTATTTCTATTTGCTTTAACTACTTTGAAAGTGTCATGGCAGATATTCATGACAGCTAATCTGTTTTATGACGTTCTTCTCTCGGGAACAATTTTGGGTTTTGCCAGTAAGGGTCACCTTGGGACAGTCCTCAGGAACACCTTGGATTCCTCTGGTCATTGTATCAGTTTCTGCAGATTTTAAGCTTTCATTTATTTCATGTTTTTAGCTGTTATGGTTGCAAAGATGACTTTTAAAATCTGGAACTGATGCACGGTTTTCTGCAGATAAATGGACAAACAATAGATCAGACAGGTGTGAAATATCCTCAGTCATCTCAGTGAAGAACTCTGAAACATAATGACACCAATTTAAATGCCAACATTAAATATTTTACTGCCAATAATTTTGGCAAAAAAAATCTAGTTCTTCTGGGATAGTAGCAGGGCCTTGGGATTG